GGGGGGGGAGCGCGCGGCGGGGGGAGCGCGCGGCGGGGGCTCTCATGCGCCTGCGCGTAGAGTCGGCGCTTCCACGGAGGCCTGGGTCGGGGTCGCCCGCCGGTGTCCGCCCTGCTCCCGGCCGCGTCCCACCCGCCCACAGAACTAAACGACGCGCCGTAAACGCTCGCGCGGCGCGGCTGAGACTCGGCGGCGCGCGGGGACGCGGCGCGGGCGGAGAACGGCTCCGGCCGCGGAAGCCAGGACCTCGCCGTGTGCGGCCGTCACTCTTCTCCACTGTGTGTTTGTCTTTGAGTGTCTTTATCTTTTCGAGGACTTGGGAAAATTACTTTAAAGTCCTTTTTTTGCTTTAAGTTTTAGGAGAATGATAGTCTGAGTTTGGGGGAAGACAGTTGGCGAAGGGGAAAGTGAAGGCGCCGCGGACACGCAGTTCGGCCCCGGGCCAGTTGCGCGCCCGTTTCGTGCTGAATCGCACGGCCTCGCCCGCACTAGCGAGAGGGTAGATAGGGATGTTGCTTAGGATGCTGCCGACCCTCCGGTAGGTTTCGCAGGACTGAGTTTACGAGACCAACCGGACACTTTCGGACTGTTTCCCACAAGACGAACTAACACTGCAGCTCATTTTCTGGAATCACGTGGGACTACTCAGGGCTTGCAAAGGGGCAATGACAGGGATTTAAAAATTTAGATCCTAAAATAAAGGACAACTAGAGGACTGGAAAAAGAGGAATAACATAATGGGAACTTTTTTTAAGTTATTAATGTCCCAAGATATCGATTTGTCTCTATATTTTTATATAACATGGAAGTAATTTTATTTATTTATTTAAATATTTTATTTTATTTTTTTTCAATAATCCAAGATTCAGTGTTTATGCGCCACACCCAGTGCTCCATGCAATACGCGCCCTCAGTAATGCCCACCACCTGGCTCGCCCTTCCCCCCACCGTCCTCCCCTACAAAACCCTCAGTTAGTTTCTCAGAGTCCACGGTCTCTCATGGTTCGTCTGCCCCTCTGATTTCCCCCAACTCACTTCTCCTCTCCGTCTCCCCATGTCTTCTGTGTTATTCCGTATGCTCCACAGTAAGTGAAACCATATGAGACTTGACTCTCTCTGCTTGACTTATTTCACTCAGCATAATCTCCTCCAGTCCCGTCCATGTTGATACAAAAGTTGGGTCTTCATCCTTTCTGATGGAGGCATCATACTCCATAGTGTATATGGACCACATCTTCCTTATCCATTCGTCCGTTGAAGGGCATCTAGGTTCTTTCCACACTTTGGTGACCATGGCCATTGCTGCTATGGACATTGGGGTACAGATGGCCCTTCTCTTCACTGCGTCTATTTCTTTGGGGTAAATACCCAGTAGTGCAATTGCAGGGTCATAGGGAAGCCCTATTTTTAATTTCTTAAGGAATCTCCACACTGTTCTCCAAAGTGGCTGCACCAACTTGCATTCCCACCAACAGTGTAAGAGGGTTCCCCTTTCGCCACATCCCCTCCAACACATACTGTTTCCTGTCTTGTTAATTTTGACCACTCTGACTGGTATAAGGTGATATTTCAATGTGGTTTTGATTTGAATCTCCGTGATGGCTAGTGATGATGAACATTTTTTCATGTGTCTGTTGGCCATTTGTATGTTTTCATTGGAGAAGTGTCTGTTCATGTCTCCTGCCCGTTTTTTGATGGGCAGATTTTCTGTGATTATCTGTTTTTTTAGTGTAAACTTTAAAGGCTCGCTGCACGTGCTTGAAACCCGGCAAAGGGTCCTGAGCCTGCGCGGGCCTGCAGATGCCACATGTGGCCACCAGGGGGCGGCAGCGCCCCGCCGAGGAGCCGGCCGCAGCCCTGCCATCTCCCTGGGGCCTTAGTCCTGGCAGGTTCCCCAGCCTCCACGCCAGGCTCGGGAAAAGGATCCCAAAGTGTCACGTTGAACTCAACCCAGTTAATCTCTCAAGAGGAGACAGAGGAATGAAAAGTCCTTATTCGAACAGTAACCCTCTTTCCAAATCCAGTGCTCTGAGCCCGTGGACTGAGAGCGCGGATGCCCGGGGGCTCCTCCGTGGGACATGGGAGAGAACCTGCTGGGCTGTCGTCCTCCACCACGGGCCTCAGCGGAGACCCCACCTCTCCCTGCGCTCTGACTCCCGCCGTGGCTGCGGGAAGCCCGGCCTCTGTCCCTTCCTCCCTCAAGTGAGCTGTCCAGCTGCCCTTGCTCTCCGGCTGGTCCTCTTCTGGCGTCCCTGCCCCTGTCTCGCATAGTAACAGAATTACTCTGTGTTCACTGTTTTTCCAGGGAGGTGGGCACGCTGACAGCCAGTCGAGGACTTTTCCCCAGCTTTCTTCTACCTGCTAGCAGCCCCATAGCTAAGCAAAGGCCAATAGTTTGGGAAGAAGTGATTTCCACAACTTTCAGATTGTCCCATGAAACACCAGGCCACCTGCCACCCGCTTTCCCCTTTTCCTTTTTCTGTTGGCTGGGATGGAAATGTGATGGGGGGGAGCTAGAGCAGCTCCTTTACACCAAGAGGACAGCCTGGAGTTGAGGACGATAGCATCCTCCCAACCCTCTTGGATTGTCTACCTGGAGCCAGAAGAGAGTCTGCATGACTGTGGAGTTTATGCTAATTGTGTATTAGCGTAGTTTGGGAAGGCACCCTAACAAGATATCCCAGAATCCCTGGCTGCGGAGGCCACTCTGACCTCAGAAGCAGGAGCACCCTGCTTGCACACGGGGGCCGGGGGGGGTGAGGTGTAGAATAGGGTCCCACGGGCACTACAACCAGCTCCTTCTGCTGCCACAGCTGCTGCCAAGCCACGCCACGCCCCCCCCACACCCCCGGAGGAGGCGGGTTTGGGGAAACTCCCACGGCACTGCACGGACCCTGAGGCTGAGACCCAGCAGACCGACTTCTAAAATCAGGGCACTGAGCCCTCCCCAGAGAAAGTGCTGCCCCCAGTGGGTGGGTGGGTGCTGGGGCTCAGTCACTCGCAGGTTCCATAGTGGGCGTGGTCTGTCTTTTCTCACTTTCATTCCGTGGGGATGTGCATCCGAAAATTGAGAAACTGGGGTGGAAATGGATATTTGGAACACACCTTATTCGAAAGGAAGAAACTACCTGGGGAAAAAAGAAAAAACTCTCAAGCATTTGAAATTAACTTTAATATGAAAAGTTGCTCTCCCTGCAGAAAACATGGTTATGGGCTGGATTGTGTCCCCCGAACTCACATGCTGGCGTCCTGGCCTTCCGTTCCTCAGCATGAGACTGTATTTGGAGAGGGGCCTTCACTGAGCTGATGACAGTAAAATGAGGTCAGGTGGGTGGGTGACAGGTGTCCTTGTAAGATAAGCAGGTCAGGACACACACACACACACATACACACACACAGAGGAGCAGAGAGGGAAGACCCAGTGAGCACACAGGGAGACCAAGGCTGTCTGCATGCCCAGAGAGAGGCTACACCTGCCCACACCTGCCGACACCTGCCCACACCTGCCCACACCTGTCCATACCTGCCCACACCTGTCCATACCTGTCCATTCCTGCCCACACCTGCCCACCCCTGCCCACACCTGCCCACTCCTGTCCATACCTGCCCACACCTGGACCGCAGATTTTCAGGCTCCAGGACTACAAGACAGTGAGCGTCTATGGTGCCAGCCCTGGGTCTGGGGTACCTCATCAGGGTGTCTTCCCAAACTAAGACACTAATATGCGATTAGCATCTACTCTGTAGTCATTTAGACCAGATTCTCTGTGCCTACACCACCAAGAGTTCCTGGACTTCGCACATGATGTCAGAAATCTTAAAGGGATTTGAAAATATTATACTTTTCTGGCCTCATTTTAAAACTAGCCTATCTGTTCAGAAGCAACTAAGAACGCAGTGTGCAAGGTGACAGTTAAACACCTGCCATCTGGGTGTATCATTTGCAGGTGACACAATGCCCAAATTTTCACCTTTTTCGAGAAGTACGAAATATAGGAAAATCTCATTTATCTAAAAATAATTGATCAACTACTTTGTATGAAGAACCAAGAGAAATCGTCTTCAGGTCAGCACAAGCCGCTGTGATCATATCTGGACACACACTTGAGTGTGTGACAAAGATAGGCCCGTGTATACAGTTCATTTATTAACAACAGACTGACAAGTCCTGAGTCACCGCCCCTGGGAAGACAGGTCTGACCAGAGAACATAGTGGAATGGGGTTTGCAAAGGGCAGAGCACAGGTCACCAGCAGGCACACGCAAGGTCCAGTCAGAGCCGGACGCTGGGAGGAGATCTGGGGAAACCAATGAAAAAAAGATACCAGAACCCTTAAAGAACCATCTGGAGCCCCTTAATAAACAGACCAAAACCCACACGGTTCTGTGTCTCCTGAGGGCGTTGACATGTCATCACACCAAACAGCAAGAAACAATGATGATATTGGACAAAATAAAGTCTGTATCCTACTTTAGAAACACTTTTATTCAGTATGGCTGAGATTAAATGGACTGTTGCATAAAGAAGCTTCACTTATCTGAAAATTCAAATTATACAGAAGAGCTGATTTCCAGCTGTGTCACAGCAAGCGAGCTATTTCCTGCTTAGAGACACAAACTTCTCTCCCTACATCCTCTGAGCGCATCCGGGACCCGCAAGGGGCATGCAAGTAGGCCACAAGGCTCTGAGCGCTGGAGCCCACGCTTACAGCCTGGGAGGAGGGCCGACCTCGGAACGCCTCAGCGTCCGAGTCAGATCCCTGATTCTGGAAAACCGTTCCTACTTCATGCACCAAAGACCTTCATTTTGCAAAGCCAAAATGATGTTTGAGACATACAGACTCAGAACCCTAAGATGGAACTTTGAATTTCATACAGAGACGCAGGTCAAGCTCATGAGAAGGACAGAAAGTTTCAATAACAGATTTCTCAGTCAGCGTCTTTGTAACTCACGTACCTTCTAACACATGCTTGCATTTTTGTGATGTGGGTTTTTTTTTTTTCTACTTGTGTTCCTATGTTTACAAAGCACTCTCAAAGCTTGAGTTCTAGGAACTTTCTAGAAGTTGAAGACAGTTGTTAAAATCGGATTCCATGATCAACTTCAGACTTTGGGTAAAAACCAAAGCCAGCAGCAGAGAGGGAAGGAGCCCAGCTCCCTGTGGCCCCTGATGCCCTTGGCTCCAGGGGCTGCTTCCGCTTCCGTGGACGTGGGACCAAAGCCCTTTCTGTATTGTCTCGGGGAAGCTTCCTTGTGCTTTTTAAAAGAAGGTAATTAAAACACCTTACATTCTAAACTGCACTGTGACCCCCAATTTCACTGTGATTTGTCTGACAATAGTCACGAAGCCCTCTGTGTGCTGAGTGTATGCCATTCAATTGCGGCTCGTGGAGCTCTGCCTACCCGACTTTCGGAGAATTGGCGACTGCAGAGAACACTTCCCCGGGGAAATAAAGCAAGCCAGCCCTTTCCCAATGGCCTGTTACCACCTCGTCTTCCTTATCCTCGGTGACAATGGACACCCGTGCTCATCCAGCAACCGTCCATCTCCCCACGCCACTTGGCCGGCTTGGGTGGAATGTTTCACCTTCTGCCTAAGATGAGGGGTGCGAGGGCTCTTACGTGATATTTTTCCATCTTGGGTTTCCCAACCCTGTGCGTTTTGCTGTGATCAGGAGAGGTCGTGCTCACAAGATGCTTCACACATATTCCTGAAAATGTCTGATTCGTAGTCCCGGGGGTCCATTTTGGGGAAGGCCAACCGCAGGGGACCCCCGGGGGCCCCAAGTGCATGTCCGCAGTCCCCCAGACCTCGGGCCTGCTCCGGGCCGCTCACATGGTGAAGGACGAGGCGTTCTCGTTGTCCACAGTCTCGCTGTTCTGCCTGGAGACGAAGCTTTCCGAGTGCAGCCTGGAGCAGGAGAAGCCCGGAGACTTCCGCCGCCTCCGCACGCACCACAGGTCCTTCACGATCTTCAGAAAGTAGCTCCTAAACTTCTGTCCGATGAAGGCATAGAGCACGGGGTTGAGACAGCAGTGCAGGAAGGCCAGGACCTCGGTGATGTTGGTGGCGTAGCCCAGCAGCTTCTGGCCATGGCAGGAGCGGTTCATCCTGCCCAGCTGCGCGGCCGTCACCAGGAGCACCATGTTGTGGGGGATCTGACAAGCCAGGAACACCAGCACCACCGCGATGATCACGCGGATGGCCTTGTGCCGCTTGGAGTTCTGGGCCTGCACCAGGGTCCTGACGATGAGCGCGTAGCAGAAGGTCATGAACAGCAGCGGGATGGAGAAGCCAAAGAGCAGCTGCAGGCCCAGCACCAGCAGCTTCCACTTGATGGGGTCGGAGCCCTCGTGGTAGCGGGGCTCGCACACGGTGCTGTCCTGCACGTGGTACTTCTGGTTGAACACGAAGGTCCAGACGGAGATGAGCACCGACGCCGCCCACACCAGCAGGCAGATGGCCCTGCGGTGCGCCAGCGTGCGGGACCGCAGCCGGAAGGACTTGGTGGCCTGCACGATGGCGACGTAGCGGTCCATGCTGACGCAGGCCAGGAGCAGCATCCCGCAGTTGAAGTTGACGGCGTAGATGCCCTTCATCAGCTTGCACGTGACGTTGCTGAACACCCACTCGCCAGTGGCGTGGCTCACCGCCCAGAACGGGAGGGTGAGGACGAACAGGATGTCCGCGATGGCCATATTCAAGAGGTACACGTCCGTCATGGACTTGGCTTTCTTGTAAAAAGCAAAGGTGACCACCACCAAGACGTTGCCCAAGAGGCCAAAGACACAGATCAGGGAGTAGGCCACGGGCACGAAGAGCCCGGAGAAGCTCCGGACCTCCTGCAGGGAGCACACGAAGCTGTCACCGTCAGCTGAGTAATCCGAACTGTTACCCGACCCAAAGTAGTCCTCGCTGAAGTTGAAGCCGGCGCTGAAATTCATCACCTCCTGGAAGGTGAACGAAGGTAGAGTTAGCTGTCGTGTGACCTGTGGGGAGACACGACGGACCGACATGACACTCCCGGCCAAAATAAAACAGACGCTCACCCCACTCATCGCGGTGCTTGTTCTCGGCAGGAGGGGCGGGCGTGGATGGAAGGGGATGGACGGTCAGGCCCTCTGGCTCACCAGCGGAGATAATGGGGGGACGTGAGTCTAAGGAGGAAAGAAAGCAAGACACTCTGTGAGTGAGACGGGCATTCCCAGGGAGCCCGACAGTTACGGGCTGGCGTTCTGTTTCCCTTGGACACAAAGAGTACATGGCATGCTATTTTGCAGGAAAATAGTCCTTTAGAACAAGGGTGGGCAGCCTCTTTCTGCAAAGGACCAGACAGTAAAATATTTCAGACTCTGCAGATCCTGTAGTTTCTGTCCCAACAACTAGAATCTGCCCTGGTGGCTTGAGAGTGACACGGACAACTTCACACGTGAACGGGCTTGGCCTGACTTGGCTGTCATGGCTACAGTTTGTCAAACCCTGATCAATGGCATAAAGAAGGGAGATGCCAGCAAAAGCACAGATTCTGATCCGCACAGAAATCTTGGTGCAAAATGCAATTCAATGACACTTAGCAGGATTCCGGTGAGCAAAATCTGCGGGACTGTGGATTGCGTCTAGAATACTTACGATTCACAGCCCTTGCCTGTAAATAGTGTAGAGTAGGATTCCGTGGCTTCCACCCAGCTGGGCATGTGAGAATCCCTTGTAGAGTTTTTTCAAGTCTGAACGTGAGAGTCATTCTCAAAATACGCAGAATAGGACCCCCTGGCTTGAAGGGCAGCAGCAATGTACGTATATATCTCTTATGTGACACAGGTATTACCCTCATGCCCTCGAGCTAACCAGCACCAGTCTGCCGGGAAGACCCATCATCATTGTCAGAAACCAGACCGTGGGCAGAAAGGTTAGAGATGGTCAGTGGGCAGGCCCCCTTAGTCCTTGGAGAACGCGCATGGGGCCAGCAAAGGGATGGCAGAGAAGGTGAGCAGGTGGAAAGGAAACGTGAGTGCTGAGTGTTTGCCCCTCCACGGTGGGGCCGATCCCACTGGTTCGAGGTGACATTCACCAACTGAGCCGCACGCAGCAGTGATGTGCGGGGAATGCCCAGAGGGACAACGCACAAGAAGTCCCCGAGATGAGTCAGGACCGAGAGGGGGCCCTGGAAGGAAGGACTCGGACAGTGAGAAGGAGGAGGGGCGCGGAATGACAAGCCTCGGTGCACAGGCGGAGACTCAATTGTGCTGCACCACTCAGTCCTCACCTGTGTGGTCAGTGTCACTACCTGACATCTGGGGGAGGAAGTCAGTATGACCCAGACCTCAGCCTGAGGACTCTCTGAACACACTTCTCATATCACTTGATTCTCGTTGTGTTGTTGATGCAGTCACAGGTCAGGGGACCCAAACCCAGTTTCCTCCCTGACGTCTGGAGCCATCACTTGGGAAGCAAGTCTTTGCTGCCTCTCAGCCATTGCTCTGGACATGACACTAGGGGCGGGGCAGGGGGGCAGTCATCTGTGCATGTCTGCAGTGACCTACAGCTGTGCATTCTCACTGAGGGCTTCAGGGCATGCAGAAAAACCACAACATAAAGGCTTAGTGTGGCAAAAGCATGTAGGAGACGAACACGTCCATCTGAGTATCGATGGGACATGTCAATCAAACAGGACTGAGATTTATTCTGCCAGCCATGACGGAGTCATGGAAACCAAATGTACCCTATTGCATGAAACAAACAGAAACACCTGGAAAATACATGAAATAACAGTTTTCAGACTGTTGGGCAACTGATGTCCCAAGACTGTGGTCTCTGACCAGAAGAGAACAGGAGAAGTGAGCGTGACCTGAGCTCTGGGAAGCTCCCAGCTCCCATGAAAGCAGTTTCCAAGTGCAGAGCATGGGGACAAGCTGAACAGGGGATGGGGACCTCGCTGAGGACACAGGGATCAGAGTTCTGGGAGGTTGGGGCAATATGAGGTGTGGGAGAGGAGGGAGCCACACACAGAGAAAGGGGAGCTGCAGAGAGGTGTCCCTGAGAGGAAGCAGTGCAAGAAGAGTGTGAGAAATGAGAAACCAAGAAATCCTCAGAGCCCTCGTGGGCTAGAAAGAATTTTTTCCCACAGAAGGCGTAACAGCACCTTCTAAGTCCCAGGGGATTGGAGAGCAGCCCCAGAACAGCACTACTGAAGGAGTGACACTCCTAAAATCGCCTACAGTGACTGTTACTCTAAACTTGCCACAGCAAAGCTTGGAAGAAAGTCTCAGATGACCCATCTGATTCCAGTAACATCACCACATCCCAGAGCAAAGCCCCAAATCATTTAAAGACATGCCATGAAATGCAGCCTTCAGTCATGTAAAATTCATGTCAGGCATCCAAACAAAAATTTCTAGACCACTGGAGTCTGAATGTGCATGCGTCCCCAAAATTCATATGCTGAAGCCTAATCCCCAAGGTGGGGGCATTTCGAGGTGGTGCCCCCCGCTGCCACTCATGAATGGGATTCGTGTTCTTTCAGGAAGAGACAGCTTGCTTCCTCTGTCTGCTCCCCTCCTCCTGAAGACTGAACCGGGGGTTCCTCACCAGATACTGGGTCTGGGTCACCTGGATATTGGACTTCCCAGCTTCCAGAACCGTGAGAAATAAAGGCATCCTGTTCAAGCTACCCTATCTGTGGAAATCTGCTACAGCCTCTCACACTGACCACGACACAGACATTTGAAGAAACGGGGAAACATGACCCATAATTGACACGAAGAAACAAGAATGACCGAAATAACAGAAAAAGTTGGTAATGACTATCCGTTGATCTAGATGCCCTGGAGGGTAGAGGTAAGCACCCTACAATGAAGAAAGTGACAAAAAATATTAAAAAGACCCAAATAAATGTTCTATAGATGAAAGACAGACCACGTAACATGGAAAAATGCACTGATGAGGATTAACAGATGCAAATCAATTGTCTCCAATGCCCTAGCAATACTTGGAACGTTTGGCAATTGGGACTGGGAAAAAAATTATAATCGCATCAAAACCATGAAGAAAATACTGATGAGGACATCTTAAATCGTTACAAGATCTCCATGCTGAAGGCTATAAAACATTGCTGAGAGAAATTAAGATCTAGGTTACAGGAGAAGTGCATCAGGTTCAGGATTAAATAATCCAATAGTGAGATGTTGGTTCTCTCCAAACTGATCCACAGACACCACATGATCCAAATCAAAATGGTGTCAGGGTTTCTGGAAAAAACTGACCGGCGGATCCTGCAATTTATATAGAATTCCAAGGGACTGAGAAGGGCCAAAACCATCTTGAAAAAGAATACAGAATTCTAAGATTCCTACTACCTGGTTTCAAGACACACTATGAAGCCACAGGAATCATGGCAACATGGTGTTGGAAACAGGATAGATGCAGAAATCAACGGACAGAACAGAGTCCAGAAATAGACCCACACGTCTGCGGCCAACGGATTCTTAACAAAGGTGCCAAGGTAATTCCAGAGGGAAACACAGTCTTTTCAATAAATGGTGCAGGGCCAATAAGGTGTTCATGGATAAGAAGTTGATCTTCTCTTTTCCTCATGCTACAAACAACAACAAAAAACTCTAAATAAATTATAGTTCTAAATGTGAGAGCCAATCATAAAACATCCAAGGAAAGCAGAAGAGAAAATCTTTGCACCCTTGGAAATGGTAGATGTCTCATCTAAGCTGCAAAACGCATGAGCTATAAAAAAAATGAAATAGAAAATTGATAAATGGAAATTGATCAGAATTTAAGGGGCGCCTGGGTAGCTCAGTCAGTTAAGCGTTTGCCTTCGGCTCAGGTCATGATCCCAGGGTCCTGGGATTGAGCCCCATGTCAGGCTCCCTCCTTGGCAGGAAGCTTGTTTCTCCCTCTTCCTCTCCCTCTCCCCCTGCTTGTGTGCATGCAAACACACTCTCTGTCAAATAAATAAATAAAATCTTTTCAAAAATTTTTGTAATTGATCAGAATTTAAAACTTCTGTTTTTTGAAAGACACTTGAGAAAAGTAAAAACAGATCATTGAATGGGAAAAAAATTTTGTGAACTTGTAATCTGATCATGGATCATATCCAGAATATACAAAGAACTCTTACAACTGAACGTCAAGAAGGGACAGGCAAAAAATGTGAAGTGAGTTCACCAATGGAAATACATGGGTGGCAATTCCGTATGAGAAAACTTGTTCAATGTGATTAGTCATTAGGGAAATGCAAATTAAAAGTGCAATAAGATATCTTTTCTCACCCACTCGATGGCTGAAAGTCAGGGGCAGACAAGACAGGAGGCAAGGATGGAGACATGGGAGATGGCCAAGCAGTCACATGGCCACACTGAGAAGACCACAGGGCGATGTCCTATAACGCTAAACATGAACTTACCATATAAAGCAACAGCTGACTCTTACGTTTTTAGCCAAGAAAAATGAAAATGAAAGACTAATACTTGAACGTTCATAGCAGGTTTCTCTATGACAGCCCTGGATTAGAAAAACAGAGGCTTCCATCAGCAGGTGGACAGATAAGCAAATTGTACCATCTCTGTATCACAGATCACTGCCCCCCAAGCAAGAAGCAGAGTCCTGATGTACACGCCAGTCGGGGGGGGCGGCAATCGCAGAGGCATTTGGCTGGGTGAGGAATCCAGACATACAAGACCAGGCACGGCGTTATACCATTTACGTGAAATCCTAGAAAAGGCAAAGCAAGAGTGGTGAAAGTCAGGTCCATGAGTGTCACGCCTCAGAGATGAGAAAAGACCAGCTGAAGGGGGCACAGGGACCTCTCTGTGGTGACAGAAGTGTCCCCTGTCAGGATCATGATCTTGCTGGGCATTTGTCAAGACCCACTGAATCAGATACTTCAGGCTGGTGATATTCATTGTACATAAATTAAAACCCAAGAGAGCAAATCCAGTAACTGCACGGGGGGGGCACATGGCAGGGGGCCACAGAGCTGCTGGAGGGAGTGCTCGGTGGGAGCCGTGGCCGGGTGCATGATCACAGAGGGGACAGACGACATGCCAAGCCGAGGGGGGCCATAAGGGCGTCCCATGAGGAGGGCGGGGGTCGGGGGGGACATGACGACGTTCGGACCATGCGGGGGCTGGTGGCCATGAGGGCTGTCAACAGAGCAGCTGTGAAAGGGGGCATCCTCGTGCGCTCCAGACTCGGTGCCCAGCGGGAACCCCAGCGGGAACCCTGCTTCAGAAAAATGGCTCTTTCAACCACACTCTGACCTATAATGTGTTCTGATTTCATGTTTAATTCCACTCAACAAACATTTATGGGCTGTCTGTGGAGGATGACACGGAGCACAAAGATGAGTCACACGTGAGCCGCAGCCCGGAGCCTCTGGCAAACCGACCGTTGTAAAACCGCGCAGGCCGGTGGCCGCCCCGGGAGGCCCAGGGTCCGAGCGGCCGGCTCGTGGCCGGTGTCCGCCCCGGCGCAGGGGGAGCGGGGTGCTCAGGCCGGGCTGGGGGGCACGGGGACTTGTTTGCCTGCTCCGTGTGAACAGTCTGCAAGTCTGGACAGCGGCAAATTCGATGCTGTTGTGGTTAAGAAGCAGCGTTCTTGAGAGAAAACACCATCGTCAAGTTTAGGGGGATGCCAGTCACTCGTGTGACTGGAAATGATTCAGCGTGCCCCCAACCACCACCGTCACCACAGACTCATGCAAAATGTGCTGAGGAAACCGTGCTGGTGACATACTGGCATCCG